GTTTTGGGGGGAATATAAATCTATCTATCTATCCGAATTTTCCACATAATTGGGTAGCCATAGGTCTATCTATCCGACCTGTTGACCCTGGCTATTAGTTACACAGTTAACCGTCCATTTAACAGTCTAGTGAAATGACTATTCATTCAAATGCACATTTATTTATTCAGAAAATCTATATACATTGTCATCCATTTTGTTCAACTGTTCGTGTGTTTTTTTTTCTGTTTCATCCAACAGGCTGAAATATATATATATATTTTGTTATTTTCCATCCACATATTCAGGCTTAAATCCAACTGCGGTTTATATCCACATATTCAAGCTTATATCCAATTTATGCTTATATCCATATTTCCATGTTTATATCCAACATAGGCTTATATCCATATTTTGAAGCTTATATCCAACTACGGTTTACATCCACATATTCAAACATATCCAACTACAGCTTATATCCATATACTGAAGCCTATTTACATCTATCCATCCATTCTCCAACCCTTCTATCCACACCCAAACCCCATCTGCTCTCCACTCCCTCTATCCACATCCATCCATTCCTTTTCTCTCTCTATTCGTCTATTCATCCATCTATCCACATCTATTCATCCATTCTCCAACCCTTCTATCCACACCCAAACTCCATCTGCTCTCCACTCCCTCTATCCACATCTATCCATCTATCCCTTTTCCAAGCAGCTATCCACCCAACCCCACTCACCTCATGCATACAAAGGGATGAGATAACGTGGCGTCTTTTTTATCACGTGAATCTCTCTCTCTCTCTCTCTCTCTCTCTCTCTCTCTCTCTCTCTCTCTCTCTCTCTCTCTCTCTCTCTCTCTCTCTCTCTCTTCTCTCTCTCTCTCGTCTCTCTCTTCTCTCTCTCTCTCCTCTTCTCTCTGTCTGTCTGTCTGTCTGTGTGTCTTTCTGTCTGTCTGTCTGTCTCTCTGTCTGTCTGTCTGTCTCTGTCCTGTCTCTCTCTCTCTCTCTCTCTCTCTCTCTCTCTCTCTCTCTCTCTCTCTCTTCTCTCTATATACCTTTTCCCTCTTTCCGTCTTTTCTTTCTCCCCTCTCTATCCCCCTTTTCCCCTTTCTTCTGTCTCCTCTCTTTTCTCTCTATCCTCTTTTCTTTCTCCCCTCCTCTCTCTTTCCCTTTATCTCCCTCCCCTCCCCCCCTCTCCTTCTTCTCTTCTCCTCAATACCCCTCCCCTCCCCTTCCCCTCCTCTCCCCCCCCCCTTCTCTCTTCTTTGAGATCGCAAACATCTTTGATCTTTCTTTGCCTCTTTATCTCTCTCTCTCTGTTTATTCTTCTTCATTTCCCTTTCTTCTCTTCTCTTCTCTTTTCTTCCTCTTTCGTGTCTCTCATATTTCTTTGTTTGTATTTCCGTTTCCCTTTCTTCTCTTCTCTTCTTTTCCTCTTCCTCTTTCGCATCTTTCCTCTTTCTTTGTTTTGTATTCCGTTTCATTTCGTTTTGTTTAGTTTTTCTTTTTTTTTGTTTTTTTTTCTTTTTTTCGCGATTTTTTGCTTCTTTATCTATCAAGTGTTTATTAGTTTTTTTTTTTTTTTTTTTTTTATTATTCCTCTGTCTATCTATTTATCTATCTACCTTTTTATTCCTTTATGTATTTATTCATATATTCCTCTCGCTATCTATCTATTTATTTATGTTATCTATTCCTCTATCTATCTATCTCCTCATTTACCTATCTATTAATTCTTATATATACTTATCCATCTATCTATTTATCTATTTATCTATCTATCAATTCATTCCTTTACATATCTATTCATCTATCTGTCTATCTAACTATCTATCTATCTATCTATCTATCTATTCCTATCTATCTATCTATCTATCTGTCTATCAATTTATTCCTTTAGCATATCTATCTATATCTATCTATCTATCTATTTTTATATCTATCATCTATCGATCTATCTATTCTATCTATTACCATATCTATTCATCTATCTGTCTATCTATTTATCTATCTATCTATCTATCCTATATCCATCTTATATATATCTATTCATCATCTATCTATATTCTGTCTATCTATTAAGATATAATTTAGAAACAATAAATAAAAGAATAACACCGAGACAAACTAATACACAGTTACACATGAAATCTTTTATGGACAAGAACACACACATTTGCATACGTTCTCATACATACACACGTACATAAATAAACGCACATAAATAAACGCACATTAGTAGACCCACACACGTACATAAATAACCACACAGGCGTACATAAATACTCACACGAGCGAGCATAAATATTCACACACACACACACACGCGTACATAAATAACCACATGCGCGTACATAACCGACACAGGCACACACGTAATAAATACTCACACACAGATTGCCGATTAGC